CTTCAGCCTATGGAAACCTCCATTTGTCACGTCTCCTCTTCTAGTAATCTTTTTTTTTTTTTTTTTTTTTTTTTTTTGAGACGGAGTCTCGCTCTGTCGCCGGGCTGGAGTGCAGTGGGCCGGAATCTCAGCTCCATGCAAGCTCCGCCTCCCGGGTTCCCGCCATTCTCCTGCCCTCAGCCTCCGAGTAGCTGGGACTACAGCGCCCGCCATCTCGCCCGGCTAATTTTTTTTTTGTTATTTTTAGTAGAGACGGGTTTCACTGTGGCTAGCCAGGATGGTCTCGATCTCCTGACCTCGTGATCGCCCGTCTCGGCCTCCAACATAATCACACCACAGAGGCTCAGCTGCACTCAATTTTGGTAACATTAAACATGGTCAAACACTTCCTCATATTCCATGTCCCTCTCCCCACCGTATACCATGGCAGTTTTTTCAGATGAAGAAAAACAAAAGCTATGGACATGAATGCATTACCGAATGTCAAACTTGCGATGACCTGGCTCAAGCAGCAGAGGGTGCTCAAGATATTTCTGGATCACGTGCACTTGGCCCTGGTTGTCTATGAAATCGAGAAGCTCTGAAGCCTCTGACGAGATGAGAATGCCTTCACCTAACAGGGAAAAAGCAAAAGAGAAACCAGTCCAATTCAAACCAAGAGCTCTCTATAAAGCCAGAAAGGAAATACGAACAGCAAAAACCCCACAAGAGGCTTTCAACGTCCTGCTCACCTTTTTCCTTCCCTTCCTTACTCCAGTCTCCCACATGCTCCCTTCTCCCCTCAAGAGTACCCAGGATTATCCTACCAACTCCTTCTCCATGCGGGTTGTCAACACTATCTTGGCTGCCTACAACCATGAAACCTCAGTTTTACAGAAATTCAAAGTGTCTAAGCACTCAAAGTAAATACTATTCTACTACTGGTCACTGGTTACCACAATAAAGACTACAAAGACAATACCTCCCCTTCCTTCACTATATCTCGTAGAACTACCAGGAAGGTTAAGGCATAAAGATGAATGTTCAAGTAGGTTCCTTGTAGCGTTGTAACAGAAAAAAACTGGATACATTGGAATTGTCCATTAACATTAAATAATTGATATATCTTTTTTAGTAGCTTGAAGTATAATTCACATACCAAAAACTTTTTATCCTTTGAAAGTGTACAATTCAATGGCTTTTAGTATATTCAAGAGTTTTAAACCATTACTACAGTTTTTTTGTTGTTGTTGTTGTTTGTTTGTTTTGAGATGGAGTCTCACTCTGTCGCCCAGGCTGGAGTGCAGTGGCGCAATCTCAGCTCACTGTAACCTCTGCCTCCAGGGTTCAAGCAATTCTTCTGCCTCAGCCTCCCGAGTAGCTGGGATTACAGGCGTGCACCACCATGCCTGGCTAATTTTTGCATTTTTAGTATAGACAGCATTTCACCACGTTGGCCAGGATGGTCTCGGTCTTCTGACCTCGTGATCTGCCTGCCTTGGTCTCCCAAAGTGCTGGGATTACAGGTGTGAGCCACCATGCCCGGCCTACTACAGTTTAATTTTAGAACGGTTTCACCACTTCCCAAAATAAAAACTCTGTACCTATTAGCAGTCACTCACTACTCTCTCCTCACCCCAGCTTCTGACAACCACTAATCTACTTTCTGTATCTATGGATGTCTCATCTGGACATTTCATATAAATGGAATCACACAGTATGTGGCCTTTCGTGTCTAATTTCACTTAGCACAAAGTTTTCAAGGTTCATCGCCATTGTAGTGTGTATTAGTAGCATGTTCACTTCTTTCTTTGGCTGAAGAGTCATTTTTGTTCATTCAGTCATCAATTGATGGACGTTTGCATTGTTTTCATTCTTGTCTGCCTCTTATGAATAATGGTGCTATAAGATTTGCATACAAATTTTTGTGAACATGTATTTTCAATTCTCAGGAATACTAGGTATGCAGGTGTGCGCTACCACATTGGCTAATTTTTGTATTTTTTTGTAGAGATGGGGTCTTACTGTTTGCTCTTTTTCTAATTGGATTGTGTGTCTTTTTGTTTACTGTTAAGTTTTGAAAGTTGTTTATATATTCTAGATCTGAGTCCCTTGTCATACGTATGACTTAAAAATCCTTTCACCCCGTTTGTAGCTCATCTTTTTATCCTCTAATGAGGTGTTTCCAAGAGCAGAAGTTTTATTTTGATGAGGTTCAATGTATCAATTTTTACTTTCATGGATTATACTTCTGGAGTCAAGCTCAAGAACTCTTTGCCAAGCCCTATCTCCCTTTTTCCTCAAAAATTCTTAAGTCCATGATCGATTTTGAGTTAGTATGAGGTGTGAGGCTTATGTTGATGTTCATTTTTCTGCCTGTTGATAACCACCTTCTCTAGTACAATTTGTTGAAAAATTTATCCTTCCTCTATTGAATAGCTTTTGCACCTTTTTCAAATATCAGATGGGCATATATGCTTTGGTCTATTTCTGAGTTATCTATTCCCTTCCACTAATTTATGTTTCTTCTGTTTTTGAGACGGAGTGGTGCTCTGTTGCATAGAGGTGTGATCTCGGCTCACTACAACCTCTGCTCCCTGGGTTCAAGCAATTCTCATGCCCAAGTAGATGAGAGCACAGGCCTGCGCCACCACACCTGGCTAATTTTTTGTATTTTTAGTAGAGATGGGGTTTCACCATGTTGGCCAGCCTTGTCTCAAACTCCTGACCTCAGGTGATCCACCTGCCTCGACCTCCCAAAGTGCTGGGATTGCAGCCGTGAGCCACCGCGCCTGGCCCCACTGATTTATGTTTCTATTTTTCCATGAATGCTATAGTGTATTGAGTACTGTAGCTCTAAAATATGTCTTAATATCAGTTAGCATGTTTACTTATACTTTATTCTTCAAGATGTTTAAGCTATTCTAGGGCTTGTGCCTTTCCATATGAATTTTTATTATTTATTTATTTATTGAGATGGAGCCTTGCTCTTGTCGCCCAGGCTGGGCTCAAGCAATTCTTCTGCCTCAGCCTCCTGAATAGCTGGGATTACAGGCGCCCGCCACCATGCCTGGCTAAATTTTGTATTTTTAGTAGAGACATGGCTTCACCATGTTAGCCAGGCTGGTCTTGAACTCCGGACCTCTGGTGATCCGCCCGCCTCGGCCTCTCAAAGTGCTGGGATAGGCGTGAGCCACCGTGTCCGGCGCCTCCATGTAAATTTTTTTTTTTATACTTTAAGTTTCTGGGTAACATGTGCACAACGTGCCAGTGTTTTACATAGGCAATACATGTGCCATGTTGGTGTGCTGCCACCCATTAAACTCGTCATTTACATAGGTATAATCATAATGCCTATCCCTCTCCCCTCTCCTCACCCCATAGCAAGCCCTGGTGTGTGATGTTCCCCCTCCTGTGTCCAAGTAATCTCATTGTTCAATTCCCACCTATGAGTGCTGCTATAAAGACACATGAATACATATGTTTATTGCGGCTCTATTCACAATAGCAAAGACTTGGAACCTCCATGTAAATTTTAAAAGAAGCTCCATGTCTATACAAAAAGCTTGCTGAGATTTTGGGAAGAATTACATAAACCTATAGACTAGTTTGGGGTGAACTGACATCTTTACTATACTATCCTGCAATCCATGAACACAGTATGTCAGTCCATTTCTTTAGGTCCTCTTTGGCTTCCTCCATAATCATTTTACTATTTTTAGCATACAGAGCCTATACCTGTCGGTTAAATTTATACCTAAGCATCATATTTTCTCTGGGGTGACTATAAGTAGTATTGTGTTTTTTGTTTGTTTGTTTTTAAGATGGAGTTTTTGCTTTCTTGATCAGGCTGGAGTGCAATGGTGCAATCTCAGCTCACTGCAACCTCTGCCTCCTGGGTTCAAGTGATTCTCCTGCCTCAGCCTCTGGAGTAACTGGGATTACAGGCAACCGCCACCATGCCTGGCTAACTTGTGTATTTTTATAGAGACAGGGTTTCACCAAGTTGGCCAGACTGGTCTCGAACTCCTGACCTCAGGTGATTCGCCTGCCTCAGCCTCTCAAAGTGCTGGGATTACAGGTGTGAGCCACCATGCCCGTTTAAGTAGTACTGTGCTTTTAACTTTGGTTTCCACATGTTCATTGTTGGCATATAAAAATGCAATTAAGTTTTGTGTGTTGCTCTCATACCCTGTAACATTGCTGAACTCACTCTTTAGTGAGTTGTCACCATTTCTTATTTTAACCATTTTAATAAAAGTGTAGTGACAGCTCGTTGTGGTTTCAATTTGCTAGAATCTTCTAATCTACGCTTCAGATTTGTAGCTGATTTCTACCTGGGTCTCATGCTTTCAGTATAAGTGAATTCAATTCAGTTCATTAATTCAATGATTCACCTTTCCCAAACGTTATTAACGCCCTTTTCAACTACCTTGTTCCTGTCTCTTATTCTACCATCTGGTGAGCTTCTTGAACAAGAAACTGCGAATCAACGTGGAAAAGCTCCCTTCTCCTCGTTCCCTACACACATGACTCATGTTGTTTCATCTCCCTTAGGAATCAGGCTCAGATTTTTTGATACACCAGTATCAAAAATTATAAAATAAATTTGAATTGTATGTATTGTTTTATACCTACAAAATAAGAAGACAAAAACGGTGATACTTTTAGTGACAGTTCGTCATGAACTGCTCCCCGTTAGCTTACAGCCCTTTGAAAAAGCAAAAGGATAATACAGAGCAAGAGCCATGAAGGCTTCGTGTCATTTGACCATGTAATCTCATGTTTCAAAATTACTCTAAAGAAATGTTTAAGAAGAAACAAGAGTTTCTTGTGATCGCCCAGGTGTGATGGCTCATGCCTGTAATCCCAGCACTTCGGGAGGCTGAGGTGGGAAGATCACTTGAGCTCAGGAGTTCAAGACCAGCCTGGGTAACATAGTGAGACCTCATCTCTACTAAAAAATCAAAAAATTAACAGGGTGTGGTGATGCACAGCTGTAGTCCCAGCTACTCAAGAGGTTGAGGTGAGAGCGGGAAGGGCGCGGTGGCTCACGCCTCTAATCCCAGCACTGTGGGAGGCCGAGGCAGGTGGATCACGAGGTCAGGAGATCGAGACCATCCTGGCTAATGCGGTGAAACCCCATCTCAACTAAAAATACAAAAAATTAGCCGGGCATGGTGGCAGGTGCCTATAGTCCCAGTACTCAAGAGGCTGAGGCAGGAGAATGGTGTGAACCCGGGAGGCGGAGCTTGCAGTGAGCTGAGATCGCGCTGCCACTGCACTCCAGCCTGGACAACAGAGTGAGACTCTGTCTCAAGAAAGAAAAAAAAAAAAAAGGAAGGTTGAGGTGGGAGGATCGCTTGAGCCCAGGAAGTCGAGGCTGTAGTGAACTGATATCATGCCATCATACTCCAGCCTGGGCAACAAAGCAAGACCTTGTCTCAAAAAAAAAAATATATATATATATATATACACACACACACACACACACACACACACACACTCTCATACTCTCATACATACATAATACAAAATTGAAATTAAAAAAAAAACAAGAGTGATCTACAGCAAAGACATTTACTAATGTTTTCTGTAATAGCAGAAATAGCAGAACGATGAGGTTGTTTCTCAACAATAATTTGCTGTTAGAGGTGTAGTGTGTTCCCATGCTGCAGGTGCGAGGTGAAGGTGGCTAGATTAGAGATAGGCAGTGGGCACAGTAAACAGTGGCTTCATAACCGATAAGAGTTTGAAGGTTGAGTCAACTATACAAAGCATGTAGTAGGTACCAAATAAATGCTTAACAAGAATAAAAGTCATTCATTCATCCTATTGGTTTCATTTTATAGTTCCCAAACATAATAAATATATATCACTTATCTCCTCAGCTCCTAAAGCAAAAAGTCTTTGTGTGGCATTTTATTCTCTTGACTTCCCCCTGCTGCTGGGTGTCCCTCTGAGTCTTGCCTTGGTGAGGGTCCAGGGATCACCCAGGTGTCCTCACAGTGGCCATACTGACTCCAATCCCAAACCCACAGGAGGATTCTGGAGTACCATGAATGTCTATTTCCTCTTCCAATTCCGTCATTTACCATTGGAACCACACTGGGCGGCAGTACTTGAGAAAAGGTCCCAAGAGGGGAGAGAGAAGTAGGTAAGGTACCTGGCTTGTGGCAAGAGTCCAACTCTCCCCTTTTCAGAATACCAGCTGAGGCCTTCCTGTCTCATGGTTGGTGGAAAAGAAGGTGAGGTCCTTTCTACCCAGAATAGAAATGAGTACCAGTGGCCAGATGTCTTCCAAGGCAATACAAGAAATGAGTTCAAAATGGAATGAGACAGAGTCTCATTTTGTCACCCAGGCTGGAGGCACGATCTCGGCTCACTGCAAGTTCCGCCTCCTGGGTTCACGCCGTTCTCCTGCCTGAGCCTCCCAAGTAGCTGGGACTACAGTTGCCTGCCACCACGCCCGACTAATTTTTTGTAATTTTAGTAGAGATGGGGTTTCACCATGTTAGCCAAGATGGTCTCGATCTCCTGACCTCGTGATCCGTCCGCCTCAACCTCCCCAAGGGCTGGGATTACAGGCAGTGAGCCACCGCGCCCGGCCGGAATGGTTTTATAAAGAGCATATGAGGGCAGTCATAGACAGAGACTGTTTATGTGTTCATTACATTGGGAACTGCCTCTATTTTCAGCCTGATTTAATATTATAAACCTTACCCCTTACACGCATTCATTCAACACATATTTGTTGAGTGCCTACGAGGAAGGTACAAGGATGAATAAGACAGAACGTCTGCGTTTGTGTGAAGCCTACACAACAATGGGAGAGATGGACAGAGAAGTAGTATAGCGCCAGGAAGAGGTTAATGCCAGGAAGTAAATGAGGCAGGGGAAAGGGAAAGAAAGCAAAGGACACAGAGGCTATTTCAGATTAGAAAAGCCTTCCCTGATGAGCCAGCGTCTGAGGTGAGAGAAACAAAACAAACTATGTAATCACATTCTAGGAACAGAGACAAGTTTGGAATATTTGAGAGATACTAGGCAGTCTTTGTGTCTACAGTCCAGAGAGCAAAGCTGAGGATAGAAGGAGATGAGATCAGAGATACGGGCAAATGTCAAATGGTGCAGGCTACCATTAGGAATCCGGAGTCCATTCTAATTGCATTAGGAAGCCAGCTGGTAAGTTTCAAGTAGGAAGTAACATGATTAGATTTATGTTTTGAAAACATCATTGTCCGGAAGGAGAACTGGTTGAGAGCAGGCTCTGCAGTTACACACACTAAAGAGAACGGGGGCTTTGATTTAGAGGGGAAGCAGTGGAAATGGCAAGAAATAGTCTATTCAGAATGTATTTTGAAGGTAGAGCTAGCAAGAATTGCTAATGCATTAGGAGTAGATTGTAAAGAATAGAATAGTCAAGGATGAATCCTAGGTTTTAAGCTTCAGAGACTGAGTGACGAGTGGGATCATATACTAAGTGGAAAGCGTGAAGGAGGAGCAGGTTGGCATGGGCAAAGTTGGTAAGGAAATGAAAAGTTCTGTATCAGATGTATTCAGTTTGAAATGCCTTTCAGAGACGGTGAGGGTGTCAATGGATCTAGAGCTTAAAGGAAAAGACCTATACTGGAGATATACATTTACAAGGCATCAGTACATAGATGGGCATTTATAACTATGTAACTAGACACGGTCTCCACCTTCAACGATTCAGATTAAAATAGGGTCGTTCATCTAAATACATCACAATAGGAACAACTCACCAGGAACAGAGGAGGGGACAGCAGTGCCAACTCACCTTTGGCACCAGCTGATGACTTTGCAATCCAAACGTTGCCCTCTCCATCCTCCTTCTTTCTGTTATAAGAAGCGAGAAAGAATTCTCTTTCATCTGTCCTTGAGTTACTGACTGGTGGCTGAATTCCATTCTGTGCTGGAGCAACTGGGGTCTTGAGATTGGTTGGATAAATCACATAGGACTCAGGGAACCATGTGCAGGACTCAGCCAGTTCAGGGCTTGTCTTGATTAGCCTGGCAGATGACAGAAGAGGGTCAGCCTCCCTTCTTAGTGTACTTTGTCACTCCCTTCAGAAACGCCACTGCTTTCCCCCAGAGATCTTCCAGGAGGCAAAGCGTGCTCAGTCTTCTAACACCTCTGTTTGCTCTTAGTCTCCCTGGACAAAGCTCAAATGCATTACTGGGGAGCACACAGCTGTTAGATGCAACTTTAAAGGCATACCCCAGTTAATTCAAAAGGCTTAATGTCCAACACTTTCGCTCTTTTTAAAATGCATCTCCAAGGAAGCTTCACTGGACATAATCCTGAGCCAATACCTTTTCAACACATATGTTGTTGAGCCAGACCCATACTAAAAAATGAAATGGGGAAGAGAGGAAAATTTATGTAGCAAAAAGACTACCCTGGCCCAACTCTCTATAGGAGAAAAGGTTATGTAGGAATCTGAATTAGAAGACTTTTTAAAGCCCTTCTTTTCTTGCTTTTAGCTCAGGCTAGCTTCGGTGACAGAATAAAAAAGGTATCTTTCTAACAGAACACAGGACACCAGTGGTCATAGTGAAATATACCTCCTGCTCCCCAAATACCATAACACCACAGCAGATTAAGTCAGGCAAGGCACTTAGCACACAGGAGCTTCCCACTGCATCTACTCTGCAATCAGACCCCTGGAGCTAGAGGCACTGGTATCACATTTCACAAATTAGGAACTGGGTCACAGAGAAGCAAATTTCCTAAGATCATAAAGGTAGTGAGGACCAGCCAGCATGCACCCCGAACTCCCAAGTCTTTCTTTCTTTCTTTTTTTTTTTTTTTTTTAACAGCTCAAGCTACTACAAAACCCCCAAGTCTTAACTGGAAACCTGCTCTTACTCCCCAGGAATCAGAGACAGGGAAGAACCTGCCCACAGACATTCACTGGCCTTCCCTGAGCTGTGCTCCCTCTTCTGTTTAGAACAGAACTGTTAATGCCAAGTCCATGTTAAGATTCACCTATAAAACCCAGTCTGTGAACGAATGGTGGAAATAATGACATTTTAGATAGAGATTAAAAATAAATTTATTTTAAAGCGAAAGGGAAAGAACTGAAAAGCTACTTGAACTTCAAGGAACAAAATAAACATATTTTTAACTCACTGAAAGTTCAACTCCTTATCTGCATTGTGCCATCCGGTGGGCAGTAGTCAGCCACATATGGCCACTGAGCATTTGAAATGTGGTCAATGTGACTCAGGAACTGAATTTAAAGCTTATTTTTTTTTTTATTCGAGACAGAGTCTCACTCTGTCGCCCAGGCTGGAGTGCAGTGGTACGATCCTGGCACACTGCAACCTCCACCTCCCAGGTTCAAGCAATTCTCCCACCTCAGCCTCCCAAGTAGCTGGGATTATAGGCGCCTGCCACCATGCCCAGCTAATATTTATATTTTTAATAGAGACAGGGCTTCACCATATTGGCCAAGCTGGTCTCAAACTCCTGACCTCAGGTAATCCACCTGCCTTGGTCTCCCAAAGCGCTGAGATTACAGGCATGAGCCACCATGCCAGGCCTAAAATTTAATTTGCCTTTAATTAAAAAATGGACACATTATAAAATATTTTTCCATTAAGCACAACTTTATTGATATGGTGAGATAACACTTCACTTTATTGTTGCATTGCAGCATGCACGTCAGGGCCATGTGTCATTTCTAGTATCACACACAAACACATCGCTATTCTATTCAGGGACAATAGATTGATTCAGTTCTAGTGATTTATTTCTGTGCACTGATGAAACATTATGATATGTTTATTACGCAGAGAGCATGAGTTACAGTGCTAGCTACGTACACCACAGTTGGTAATTTAGGTGAAACAGAATTTCTTCCTAGTTAAAAAAATATTTGGACAAAGTTTTAAATTTAAAACAAAGGCATACTACTGATGTGGAACTGAGTAGGGACGCTACTAGAACTATGACAGAAGCTAGAACTATGACAAGGACAGTAAGAGATTTAAAAAAAAAAACTGAAAGGAGATATGCCACAGATTCACAAGAAATGGTGACTGCAATAGGCTGTGGTCAAAGTAGAATGAAAAAACGGTTGTGTAAAGGAGACTTTTTTAGCAAATACATAATAAACTTGGTAAGTATTTTCCTCTCAATGCTCAAAAAATTTAATGAAACTAGTGGCTGAAATCACAATAGCCAACATATTTTTAAGCAAATGTTTAACAGAGTCTGAGTTTATAATTTTGGGCAACTATAAAATGGCTTGGATTCTTACACAAAAAGAAAACCATTTTAGATGCAAATGTGGTTTTAAAAAAACTATTTTAAGGAAAAGACTTAAAAATATAATTTACAAAAAACGAACAATCTTCAGCTGAGTCACAATTGCCCACAGACTACAAAACCTTTCTAACAATCAGAGATTGACTCAAAATTTGAAAAATATTAAGTAATTTCTTTAGCTTTAGGTGAACTGTGTGACATAAAAGATGCTGTCCAATTAATACTTTGGATGTTTTGCCTCAAAGGATTTCCAAATATATGAAAAAATGCTGTCAAATTTCAGCTTAAAAAATATCAAACTCGGCGGGCATGGTGGCTCATGCCTGTAATCTCAGCACTTTGGGAGGCCGAGGTGGGCAGATTACGAAGTCAGGAGATCAAGACCATCCTGGTTAACACGGTGAAACCCTGTCTCTACTAAAAATACAAAAAATTAGCCAGGTGTGGTGGCAGTTGCCTGTAGTCCCAGCTACTCGGGATGCTGAGGCAAGAGAATTGCTTGAACCCGGGAGGTGGAGATTGCAGTAAGCTGAGATCGCGCCACTGCACTCCAGCCTGGGTGACAGAGAGAGACTCCATCTAAAACACACACACACACACATAAAACCTCATAGTATAGATATTTTAAAATCTTTTACGTCTGTCACAGAATTTTACCTACATGCAAAAAATTACTTTCTAACATGACAGATAGGACTTCAGCTAGGTTGTATTAAAATATGGATTTATGGCTAGGCGCAGTGGTTCACTCCTGTAACGCCAGCACTTTGGGAGGCCGAGGCAGGTGGATCACCTGAGGTCAGGAGTTCAAGACCAACCTGGCCAACATAGTAAAACCCCGTCTCTACTAAAAATACAAAAAACTAGCCGAGCGTGGTGGTGGGTGCCTGTAATCCCAGCTACTAGGGAGGCTGAGGCAGGAGAATCGCTTGAACTGGGAGGCGGAGGTTGTAGTGAGCTGAGATAGCACCACTGTACTCCAGCCTGGGCGACAGAGTAAAACTCTATCTCCAAAAAAAAAAAAAGAGGATTTACTAAGATTTTAGTAGACTATTGTTTCCTTTACTACTTCATTTTATTGTATGACACATGTTGGAAACACCTGCTTCATGGCATTATGTGTTACATATTGAAAACATTTGTGTTAGGTTTGCTTTCTGTTTGTTTATCTGAGACAGGGTTTTGTTCTGTCGCCCAGGCTGGAGTGCAACGGCACAATCTCAGCTCACTGCAAACGCTGCCTCCCCGGCTCAAGCGATTCTTGTGCCTCAGCCTCCCAAGTAGCTGGGACTACAGGCACGCACCACCATGCCCAGCTAACTTTTTTTTGTATTTTTGGAAGAGACGGGGTTTCACCATGTTGGCCAGGCTGGTCTCAAACTCCTGACCTCAAATGATCCACCTGCCTTGGCTTCTCAAAGTGTTGGGATTACCAGTGTGAGTCACCACGCCCGGCCTTGTGTCAGGTTTTCTGAAGCAGACTCTAAGTGTCATGGATACAGTTGTTAAAATGGTTCTGTATATACTAGATGATTCTCCAGTTCTGGAAGCAGAAGGTAATGAATTTAATGATACTGTGTTCTCTGCCAGTATTCACTGAGAGGGGGGTTTTTTAAAATAAAGATTTACTTTTCAACTCCAATTCAGATGTTCTTGAAAATAAAAGGAATGTTTGTCAAATCATTATTTTCACTCAGTAATTCATCATGTCAATAATCAAAATAAAAAATGACTGTCATTTGCATTTTCTTATCTATCTACATACTGCATATAAACAAGCTAAATTTAAAGCTCCAAGGAAGGGAAAAGAAGACCTTATTTACGATCCAGCCAGACAGGTGTGAGAATTTATGTTTCAACTTCATAATATAAGTTGATAATAATGATTTCACGTATTTTTATAACATGACTCAGTATGCAAAAAATGTTAATTGTTACAATTAGCATTAATGTTACAATTAGCATTATGAAAATTGGCTGCAAAAACTAAAAGTAATCTGAAGAACACTTTGTTGATATTGATAAATTTAGAGTTACTTTTCAATATATTCAATACATCTTTGAATTTGATATTTACAATACTGAACTAACACAAGAGTTGGTGAATTTACTTGGACATTATTTTGAAAATAAGCTTTTACTTCATAGTCAAATCAATTCCTCTAGAAAAGATGAACTGGTTTTGAAAATGTGCGTGCAATATTAAAGGAAATAGATCTTCTGGCATTCAAAGTTATTGAAAAACTTGTATGTACAACCTGAGTACATAAATCTACTTCTTCAAGCACATACTTTTTATGTAATCTAAATTCAGATCAAAGCTTTCCAATGAATATTTACTGTTTGAATTAAGATGTGCTACATATGTAAAATTCACATCAGATTTTGAAGACTCCAAATGAAAAAAAAGAACATAATAGCTTTTTATATTAATTACATGTCAAAATAACATTTTGGATTTATTTAAATATAATAAATTATTAATTTAATTGCAGCTGCTTCTTTTCTTTTCTTTTTTTTTTGAGAAGGAGTCTCACTCTGTCTCCCACGCTGGAGTGCAGTGGCACCATCTCAGCTCACTGCAACCTCCACCTCCCAGGTTCAAGCGATTCTCCTGCCTCAGCCTCCCAAGCAGCTGGGATTACAGGTACCCACCACCATACCCAGCTAATTTTTGTATTTTTAGTAGACATGGGGTTTTACCATGTTGGCCAGGCTGGTCTCGAACTCCTGACCTCAGGTGATCTGCCCGCCTCAGACTCCCAAAGTGCTGAGATTACAGGCGTGAGCCACCACGCCCGGCTTGCAGCTGTTTCTCTGCGCTTATTTTAATGTGGCTACTAGGCAGTTTATAATTACATATGTGGGTAGCATCCTATTTCTGTTGGACAGTGCTGGTCTGTAAGACGACCTTGATTTGGAAGCCCTCATTTCCTGCACAGAACCAAGACCAGGCTCTGCAGGAAGTCCTTTGCTTTTGTCCCATTTCCTCATGGGCCCATTTGGGAAGTAATCAGAAATGGAGATTTACTTACATCTATAAAACAGCAATGTTCAGGAGAGGAAAAGACAGCCTCTGATCTGCACCAGGAGAAGAAAAGCCCCTCAGGGTTTTAAGACTATGGCCTTGAGGCCTCAGTGAAATTTCTGAAACTCCCTGAAGTGACAGGAGGAGGGACTGGGCTGCACAGGGTCCTGCACTGAACCCCACCAAGGCTCTGGGAAGCCTCCTGAGGGTGCACAGTCACAATGGCCAGGGGTCCCATTTGTGCAGATTAAAACTGTCCTGGCTTAATACGAGCTACTATAGCCATGGGCAACCTGGCTGTTCTCTCTGAGCTGCCATTTTGTCCTATATAATGAAGGAGACTTTATTTCTAACTCTCTGGAGCCCTTTCAAGCCATACAGAATCATGGGAGAGAGACAAATGGATAAAGGGAACCATCATATCGTGAACTACTACAAGCCCCTCACAGGACAACTGAGACAAAGATGGAAGCTGACGAGCATGATGCATAGGTCTGCATAGGTCATGTCACCATTACAAGGTGCTATCACGGATCACACTGCATGCCTCCGAGGGGCAACGAGCAGGTACTGTCACCACCATCCATCCCCATTTTACAGATGAGACACTGAGATTCTGATGCTCTCCAAGGTCACAGGTATTTATCACACTTGGTCACGACTCCAGCCCTAGACTCACTCTGCTTCACTATAACTGTGACATATGCAAATATGGAGACCATTATTTTTTTACAGCAACCTCTGCTTCCTACTTTGTCTTTAGGGGAAAAATCATAGCAGAAAAGGTTTAACAAATATTTAATAAGAATTTCTAAGTGAATAATCTGAACAAACAAGCATGTCCCATTTCTATTTCTGATTCCAGTGTAACAGTCATTTGCATTCTAAATATAAAACATGTCACAAAATGACTTCAGGAAGCCTCACACTCCTTCGGGAGTGGGATGAATCCTGATAAATCCATCATAGAGAGGAGTGGGTCCATAAGTTACCAGGGCCAATGAGTGAACAAAAAACAGAAATGTTCCTGTGAGCACCCAACCTAGTAAATATCTAGAGCCCAGAAAAAAATGTTAGTGGGAAAAGAGCATTTTGCATTGAGTCCTATCTCCCAGGACCTGGCTACACACACGTTCACCAGCCATCATGGAAAGAATACTGGAGGCCCACGACAGCCTTGATTTTTAGTGGCCTGACCCAGTGTTTCCCTACTGAAATAACAATAGCAACGACAACTATACTAACAGCAATAATAAGGAGTGCTTTCACTTATACAGTATGAACAAGACGGGCACTCTTCAAGGCCCTTAGCTAAATTAGCTCAATTAATCCTCATAACAACCTAAGGTAGTTATCATTATTTCCCCATTTGACAGCCAAGAAAATTAAGGTAGTATCACATACTCATTAGGCACCAGGCCACTGTGCTATATAAACTTTACATGCATCACCTTATTTAATTCTCATAATAGCCTTACGAGGGAGGCACTGAGGCTTAGAAGGATGAGGAGATCTGCCCAAGCTAGTGAGAGGAAGAGCTGGGGTGAAAACTTACACTTTTGACCCTAGATCTTAATCGTTGTCTAACACTGTCTCCTTCCACTTTGTGATACCGTGGTGATACCAAGCCATAATCCAGCTGCTCGGAGATGGCTAGTGGAGTGGATGTTCTTATACCCTGCCCAGATATCCTTTCTGAGGGACCCGCTGCAGCCATGAGAGATGCATGCTAAGGGCTATATATGTCCTTCTCCAGGGACCAGACCGTGCCCAGAAACGCTTGCAAAGCTAAGCCCTCCATCTCCTCCCACAGCCGATGGCTGACTGATACTGGAGCACAGAGGCCTGGTCCTTGCTCAGAATGTGACGACTCTGAGGTGCCATTCACTCCGGTGCTCCTTGGAGTCAGGAGAGGCAAGACTTTGGCTAAAACCACCTCTTTACTTGGTTCTCTCCGTGCCCTGCCCTGTCCTTGCTTCCCGATGGGTGTCTCTTAAGAACCCTACCCCAGGAAAATTACTCACACAGGAGACCCTGAGTCAGGCTCTGCTTCTAGGAGCCTCGCCTCAGAGACAGACAGGCTTTATCAAGCACCATGTTTTGGACTGCAACCAAAGCAGCTTAGAGGACGCTTCTGAACTGGTATTTGTTGGCTTTTAAAATAAAAGCATGTTTGTCCTTTAAACAACCCCACATTTTTGCCTAAGTGCTTCATTTAGGTAAAACATGGAAAACAGCAGTCTTAACACTTACTTCACTAAAGAAGCTTTGCGACACAGTTTGTCAGCGCCCCTGTAGTAATTCACCAACTGTACCAGCCCGGGCTCGTGACCTAGGAAGGAAAGAGGAGGCTCAGAAGGGACACAGGACAGGTGGGGAATGACAGTGCCAGCAGCAGCAAGCAGGAGAGAGGACAGCTGTGTCACGCCCAGCTTTTCTCTCTCTCATCTCAGGATTGGCTGTTATAAAATGGAAAATGGAACAATTTTGTTTCTCTGTCCCCAGGGACCCTCTTTCTCTCCGTATCCCGCTGGCAACCTTCGGTCTCCCCACAATGGATATTATAATATCAACCTCGTAGGCTTGCCAAGGCTGCTGCTACCTTTGTTTGTATTTTCTTATTAGGGTAGAGGGTATTGAGGGTATTTTTCATTTCACCTCTCCCTGACTGCACACTGCATTCCCCTCCAGGCTTAACACATACAGACTTGTCACTCTGTACAGTAAGGCTTCTTTAACAGTCATGCTTTCCACATCCGTAACCTGGTTTTCTACACCAAGGAAGGAAGGAGAACCAGAATGATGCTGGTTTCAAGCAAGTGTATCTCTGCAAGCTTCTAGGAGGTGAAGGAAGGTAGTGGAAAAGCCATGTGTATAAGATCAGAAGCCCTGAGAGCTTTCTTCTGTGCCTCGTTCCACAGGGAAACTAATTTTTAACAGCTCTTATTACCTGTGGCCTTTTTTATAAAATTAGAGCAGAAAGGATACAAAGAAAAACAAATTTTTATTAAAAATAAAAAGTGTTGTCAGCCGGGCACTGAGGCACATGCCTGTAATCCTGGCACTCTGGGAGGCTGAGGCGGGTGAATCACCTGAGATCAGGAGTTCAAGACTAGCTTGGCCAACATGGCAAAACCCCGTCTCTACTAAAACCACAAAAACTAGCTGGGCATGGTGGAGCACACCTGTATTTCTAGCTACTTGGGAGGCTGAGGCATGAGAATCACTTGAACCTGGGAGGCAGAGGTTGCAGTGAGCCGAGATCCCACCACTGCACTCCAGCCTGGGCCACAGGGTGAGACTCTGTCACAAAAAAAAAACAAAACACACACAAACACACAGCTCAAACGTTTACTGATCATCTCCTGAATTTGTGGTATCTGTACAGGATTCAAATTCTGTAGGCTTCTGCTTCTCATTCCAAGGCTTAAGCACCAGAGTAATGCCAGTCACTCCTACCCCTGCCTGGGCGGAGCCATGTTTGTTGTTTTTAATGTTAGCTTTCACAGCCAGGCACTGCCAAGAATACAGAGGGAAGTCAGGAAGTCTGGAAAGGGAAGTGGACAATGCAAGGAAGAAATAATTGTTCTCAACTATAAGCAATTCTTCGTCTCCTTTAGGGTCATGTATTCTCTTCGCTAGGGTCTTCCTGACACCGGTTAACAAAAGGGAGTCTCCAGGCACAGTCTCCATATTCTGAGATTCCTGGGTGTTCAAATGGGTCCTTCCATGGAGTCACCATTCTACATCATAAACTTGTATACCAACGAAAAGTTGTCCCAGGTACTATAAAAGTTTCAGGCAGGCATTAGCTGGCTCTCACTGGTTTCCCTGAGCAGACAGACCTGATTCCCACCTGAACTGCCTACCTTCTTATCCACAGGGCATCTGCCTTCTAGAGCCTTTACCTGGCTCTATAAATCTTATCCTTGGCTTTCATGTAGTACACTTTAAGCAAAAGGTAAATATCCCTTAACAGTGATGGCATATAGCCAATTTCGTTGTAGGATGCTGTTTTCTTTCCCATAAAAACCAAATGTTGGACAGGCGCAGTGGCTCAGGCCTGTAATCCCAGCACTTTGGGAGGACGGAGTGGGTGGATCATCTGAGGTCAGGAGTTCGAGACCAGCCTCACCAACATGGCAAAACCCTGTCTCTACCAAAAATACAAAAAATTAGCTGGGCATGGTAGTGCACGCCTGTAATCCCAGCTACTTGGGAGACTGAGGCAGGAGAATCGCTTGAGCCCAGGAGGGGGAGGTTGCAGTGAGCCCAGATCATGCCACTGCACTCCAGCCTGGGCCACAGGGTGAGACTCTGTCACAAAAAAAAAACAAAACACACACAAACACACAGCTCAAACGTTTACTGATCATCTCCTGAATTTGTGGTATCTGTACAGGATTCAAATTCTGTAGGCTTCTGCTTCTCATTCCAAGGCTTAAGCACCAGAGTAATGCCAGTCACTCCTACCCCTGCCTGGGCGGAGCCATGTTTGTTGTTTTTAATGTTAGGATTCCACCTAAGCTTTCACAGCCAGGCACTGCCAAGAATACAGAGGGAAGTCAGGAAGTCTGGAAAGGGAAGTGGACAATGCAAGGAAGAAATAATTGTTCTCAACTATAAGCAATTCTTCGTCTCCTTTAGGGTCATGTATTCTCTTCGCTAGGGTCTTCCTGACACCGGTTAACAAAAGGGAGTCTCCAGGCACAGTCTCCATATTCTGAGATTCCTGGGTGTTCAAATGGGTCCTTCCATGGAGTCACCATTCTACATCATAAACTTGTATACCAACGAAAAGTTGTCCCAGGTACTATCAAAAAAATTGAGCAATTTTACACTGCAGCTCTTCATTCCTCCAACGATTTGAGTTTTACACAGCCCCCCTCGCCCCCCAAAGGCTCTGTCTATGGAAGCTCACCAATGACCAGTCAATTCCAAATGGCCTATATTCAGTTTTTACCCATTCGAATTCTGACCACACCTATTTCTAAAAACTGTTTCCTCTCCTGGACATAGAACACTGCTCTCTCTGGGTCGTCCTCCAAGGTAGAGGTGACTCTTCCTCTGTAACAATTTTTCCCTTGTCTTTGGAATACAATTGGCCCCCACCTCTGGTGAATTCTGGCAAGGAACATGGCTCCCCAGAGAGAAGCTGCAATTCCCAGATGACTGTGCAGAGAGGGAGGCCATGAGACTATGCTCAGGTCAATGGGATGTGAGTTGAACTGATCTGGGCAACTTCTGGATGACATCATTTACAAAGGAGCCGCTAGTCCCCTCCTATCTCCTGCGTTTTCCTACAAGTGAGTATGGTGGTGCCCAGCCAGCTTCAACCATGTGGATGAAGGTAATTCCCTCGGGGAGAACAGCGAAGAGAGGGAGGGCGAAACACAGACTCATGTAAGACCTTAATCCAATGCAGAACTGCGAGAACATGTTATTTGGTGAAACTAAGGAAAGGTTTATAATCAGACACCCCTACACGCTTTCCTGGGCTAAGGTCTCTTCTGCAACTCCTACTTTTGGAATGCAGGGATCTTTTCTAAATCTTCTGACCGTTCCTCCGCCCCTTCGGGTGGCAGAAGCCTCAGGGGTTTCAACACCTTCAGCTCCCCCGCCCCCCGCGCCCACGCCAAGCAGGGAGAAATTCTCAGTGAGGAAGAGCTGCAAGATGACTCCAGCCTACGCCGGCCGCCGGCTCTGCGGAGCCGCGCCCCGCGCCGCTCTCGGCGCAGCGGACCGGCCCGATTTGGAGGCGTCGGCCCGGGGGAGCAGCTATACTCCCGCGTCAGGTCCCAGCCCCGGCGGCCGACGTCTCCCGGGCTGCAGGGACCGGTCATTGTCAGGAGGCAGCTGCGGCCCCGAGTGGCCGCACCGCGACTCCGACTCTAAATCCGAGTTAAGAGACAAGAAAGCATTAAAAACGACAGGTTTCGATCTTTCCGAATCCCATTTTTGATATGCCCAAGAAGCGACCAAGGGGAAGATTTATGACCTTTAAAAACAAAAGCGCTGGTTCTAACGGGCCGCGGGAGGCGCGCAGGGCCGTTCCGGGGAGGGCAGGCAGGAATTTGGGAAGGGCTCACCCAGTCTCCCGAAGGGCAGCCGGTTCCTCTCGCCCAACATCAGGTTGAACCTGGGGTTGTCTCGCCGCAGCCTCTTCCAGTGACCGGTGGCGAGAAGCAGCCGGGAGACTTCGGCGTAGACGCTGCTGTTCTCATCGCGCACCACGAAGGTGTACATGGCGAAGGGCCGCGCGCCCGGGCCGCCGGGCAGCCGCCGCAGGGACCAGCCGGCCGAGAAGGCGGCTCAGCGCCGATCCCGCCCGGGCGCCGCCGCGGCCCGGCCGCCGCTGCCGCCGGCTGCCGTGCCTCTCCGCGCCGGCGGCGCCGCGCCGGGCGCCGCGCGTCTGCCGAGTGGAAAGCGCCGCTAGCACGCCGCCCACCCGGCGCAGCCCCGCCTCTGGCCCGTGATCCCGCGCCACGGCCGCTGGCGGCTTCTGGGAGAGGCCGGTGGGCCGCGGCGCGCCTTCTTCGTACCCTCCCCGGGGCGGCGGCGGCGGCGCAGGGCTGGGGACCCGCGGCGGTGGGCGCGGCTTTACTGCAGCGCGCGGACTGTGCAGTGGAACCAGAGTCCGGGCCTAGGGCGGTTCCTCCCAAGCTCAGGGTCGCAGCCGGAGGGCGGGGCGGGCAGAAGATCCCAGTTTGCAGGTTTCTATCTGGGTTTTTCTTCTATTGTCAAAGGACCTTTTATGGATAAAACCCAAAAGTTCTAAGGCCCGGTCCTGTGGCCTAGGGAAGAAGCGCTTCCCCTTCCTCTTTGCTTAACGACTACGGAGACTCGGAGCGTCGGTTTTGTTTGGGTCGAGTGCGCCTTCCTTCGGCTGAGACCGGGGTGGCGCACGGCCAAGGGGATGACCTTAGACTCCGCTGGTGGAAGCAGGTCCCGAACTGGCCCCCTGGAGCCCTGGGCTTCGCTCTCTTCCTGCCTTTTACCGGCATTCAGCCACTTGCTTTCCCTTCTCCGGACCTCGATTTCCCCTTATGAGCGGCGGAAAGTGACTCTTAAAAGTCCCTTCGGTTCTGACAGCCCACTCTGAAGAACATGTTGCTGCATTTGAGGGACAAAGAGAGGACAATGATATCAGAGTTCCCACAAGCTTCCTACACTCCCTCATAAACTACCCGCATCAGCCCTGCGCCTTGCATCTTTTACTCTCCTTTAGAGAAAGAGCACCCTGGGGCCTCTCCCCTTCCTGTTCCCCGATGCTCACCTTATCTACCCGAGCATATTGTAAAAGCGACCTTCTCCCTCTCATAGTTGCCCAAAGTCCACAGGGCCGCCAGGCACTCACTCGCTCGTCTTGCGCACCGGCTCCACCTGTGGGCATTCGCTGGCTGTGGAGAGCTTGCTCAGAGCAGAAATGGGGCAGACTCGGAGCTTCTGGATGCTTGCATTTCCTCCAGAGGGATAGAGTTGGTCGAGAATGCCCTGCGGGGAGGCATGTGTCCTAGGCGTGTTGCGGTGGTCCTCTGTAGGGTGGAGCTTCAGTTGTCCGCAGCTGTAACTTGCTCACCAAGGCCTCTTCTGTTGTCTTGCTTCCTTTCCCTGACTCACTACCCCAATCACCTCCCAAAAAACTACTGTACTTGCGCTCAAATTCTTGTTCTAGGGGCAACTCGAGCCAGGACGCTGTATTTGCCGCTTGTCACAGCTGATTACCTTGAAAGTGACGTCCACTCCCACCATGCTACATCCGTTCCTCCCACCCACTGACGACTTCTGCGCCACAGGTGGCTTCTCTCTGCCACTCCACAACCGTGGATCTCATTAGGAACACCAGTGACCTTTGAATTTCCAAATTCAGAAGCTACCTTTTTCCTTTTTCTCACTCTTTGTAGTGAGCACCATTTTTGTGTTTTAGCTGTAGGTTCTCTACGGTACTACTTATTCCCCACCCCACTTTTTTTGAGACAGGGTCTCACCATGTTGCCCAGGCTGGTCTCGAACTTCTAAACTCAAGCCATCCTCCCACCTCAGCTTCCCAAACTTGGGATTACAGGCGCGAGCCACCACACCCAGCTTATTCCCTTTTCTTTGTAAGATAACTCATCTTCCCTCCTTGGAATTTTTTTTTTTTTTTTTTTGTATGATAGGGAGTCTTGCAGTGTCGTCGGGACTGGAGTGCAATGGCGCGATCTGGGCTCACTGCAACTTCCACCTCCGGGTTTCAAGCTATTCTCCTGCCTCACCCTCCTGAATAGCTGGCACAGGCCACCATACTTTTTATATTTTTGTATTTTTAGTAGAGACAGGGTTTCACCATATTGACCAGGCTGATCTCAAACACCTGACCTCAAGTGATCTGGCCGCCTTGGTCTCCCAAAGTGCTGGGATTACAGGCATGAGCTGCAGCGCCTGACCCCCTTGGAACCCGTTTTTTGTGGCTTTTTGTGGGATTAACAGTGTCTGTTATTGATAAAGGAAATGAATATCTGGACTTGGTCCAACAGGATTACTCTCTACCACTTTTGCCACAGCGACTGGTAAAACGTAGGAAAGTCGTTCAAATCAGACCAATCTGATGGAACACTATCTGTGTGGGACAGCTTGCCACTATCTTGCTGTCTTATAGGGGGAGAATCTGTTGTGAGAATTCAGCTTTCCCTCCACCCTAGCATTAAGCCCCTAGTATTAAGCATTAAGCTCCTAGCATTAAGCCATGTGGATATGTGAATATATTCTTGCCAGTAGAATGTGAGCAGGTGATATGTATCACTTCCTAGCTTAGACCTCAGAATTTGGTTGTGCCTTCTTCTGGAGACAGGACGTACAGTCAGCAGCAATATTGGAACAAAGAATGTAAGGAATTTGCCAAAACTGGCTGTATCCTGGGTTATAAAGTAAACTCCAGCAATTTCAAAAGATTGAAATAATTCTAAACACTTTTCTGACAATAGTGGAATTAAGTTGCATGAAGATTAAGTGATATTGTACACTGCTAAATAACCCATGAGTCAGTGAAGAAATCACAACAATATGAGAAAGTATTTTCTTTTTTTTTTTTCTTTTCTTTTTTTCTTTTTTGAGACGGAGTCTCACTCTGTCATCTAGGCTGGAGTGCAGTGGCATGATCTCGGCTCACTGCAAGCTCTGCCTCCCAGGTTCACACCATCCTCCTGCCTCAGCCTCCCAAGTAGCTGGGACTACAGGCACCTGCCACTATGCCTGGCTAATTTTTTTGTGTTTTTAGTAGAGACGGGGTTTCACCGTGGTCTCGATCTCCTGACCTCGTGATCCACCCGTCTTGGCCTCCCAAAGTGCTGGGATGACAGGCATAAGCCCGGTCAAGAAAGTATTTTCTCACTGAATGACAATAAAGATATGGCATATCAAAACTGGTAGGATACAGCTAAAGCTGTTTTTAATACAAATTTACAATCTAAAGCACATACGTTTTTTAAAAAAAGACTGAAAATCAATTATCTAAGCTTCTATCTCATGAAACTAGAAAAAGAAAGAATATAAACGTAAACCAAAGGTAAGTAGAAGAAAAATACATCAAAGGGAAGAAATCAAGGAAGTAGAAAACAAACGTACAATAAAGGAATCAACAAAGGCAAGGAGGTATATTTAAAAAAAATTTAAAATTGTTAAGCATTCAAGACCAACAAATGAAAGAAAACAATCAAAGTTAAAGTGAAAAAGGTCAGATGCAAGAAGATTTAACAATATTTTTAAACAAATTTTTAATGAAAAAAGAAACATCACTGGAGATCCTGAAGATATTAAAACAATAAGATCTGGCCAGGCATGGTGGCTCATGCCTGTAATCCCAGCACTTTGGGAGGCCAAGGCGGGCAGATCACCTGAGGGTCAGGAGTTTGAGATCAGCCTGACCACAATGGAGAAACCCC